CAGATCACCTGGTGAAAAGTATGCAGACGGAGAGTGATTTCAGCTAAGCATACCTTTATTAGGTTCAGGACAAAGACAACTGACCAGCTCGCAGGCCGGTTTATATGCGTTCAGAAAACCCGCCACCAAGTACCCATAACCACACCCCCTACTCCTAATAGGCTATTTACAGTAACCGGGTGACCATTGGTCTCCCGGCTGGAAAACTAGCCCTTTGATTGGGCCAGCTAGGATCCTTCGGATCCTTTGTCTTTCGACTCAAGCTACAGATGGTTTGTGCCTGGCCAGCCCGGGCAAGTCCGGGCATGTCAGGCTGAATACATTACACCTGGAGAAAATGGCGGCTTTGGAAGGTGGACTCTATGGCTCTATACCCCACTGAAGTCCCTCCCCTCCCCAACCCCCCCTCCTCAGGCTCTACCCCCCCAAATCTCCAGGTATTTCCCACCTAGACCTGGCAACCCTATCCCTAGATGAAGCAACTGAAATGGTGAAATAAGGCCTGTGTTCAGATTGAGAACTGGATGATACAATATTAATGTTTTGTAGGATGCTTAATCTCAGGAATCCCATGCCATCTTCCACCTTCCACTCCATGGATTCACCATGTCATTGTTACCATCTCTAGTAACCCTTCCTGAATCCTGTTGTGAAATGTTAATAGTTTAAGTATTACTGATTATTTAGAATTGTTATCTCAGTAAAGCCCATTATAATTCCTTGTGTAATGGGGTTTAGCCTTTGGCCAAAAACAGTATGAATGATCATTCCGCTGTGCACATTTTGTGTCTAAAGAGATCCCTTTAATCTTAGCAAAACTCCTTCACAGATGAGTTCAGAAGGGACGGGAAACTGCCAGTGACAGACACAGGCTGCCCTGCACACAATTTCCCTGTACATATAATCCTCCCCACCTCGCCAGGAAAGGAAGCATGTTGATCTCTTATTCTGCACTTCCACTCATGTTGCATATGTCAACAGTAGCAAGTTAGTCAGGGAAAGGAGGAATAATTTTTGGTCTTGTTTCTCTGGGCTCTGCCTTATATTAGTCTGGTAACCAGTTTGTTGTTGAGTGTCAATTAAATACTCAGACTGTATTTCTACAACCTGTACATATAGACTCCACAATTTAAATGACATCTAAACATATTTAATAGTCACAAGCAATGCTCCCCCTAAGCTGTGGAGTTGTGTGAGCAAAAATTCTACTTTGTGAGCTACTGGCATTAAAGTTGTGAGCGAGCAATTTGGCTGCTGCATAAATTAGTTTGCTCTGGAGACATCCTTCCTGAGCGAAGACAAAAATGTGTGAGCCGGAGGCTAAAAATCTGTGAGCTAGCTCACACTAACTCAGCTTAGAAGGGAACACTGGTCACAAGACAATATGCTTTATTCCTTTGTGGACTAGATTTGACATTGCTTATTTCAGTGGGACAAGCAGGGTGGGGAAACTGACAGTGCACTGTTTGCTGTTACTTTGTTTAAAAATATTTAGTTTAACTATTAGAGGATCCCATGTTGATTTTTGTACTCATGTTTCTCTCTCAGGGATCTGACCTCTCAGTTCAAGGCAGAAATATTACTAATGATTCAGAACACCTTCAGTTTTGGCCAAAAGCAGACCCATCACCTATTTAAAATTTTAATGGAGTGTATGGAACACAGGGATTCTGTAAGTATGATGGGCCTCTTTTAATTAAATTCGTTCCTGTTGGGCTACTGATTTTTTCCTATTGCATATATTTACGTAGGTACTGATGTTGTTGCACTGCAGTTGTCTTTAGTATAATGATTATCCAGCCTAGCCCTTCTGATAGCAGTGTGACGACTGCATGTTCAAAGATCACTTAGGACATTTTGTATGGAAATGGATGGGAGAAAGTGGGAGTGCAAATGCACTCATGTACCCACTGTTTCCTGCACCACTTAATGTACAACAGGCTTTCACACTGATTTCTCTTTTCTGGAAATGGATGATAAAACTCTCTAGACATACAAAGTGTACATTGATTGTTTATAGATTATTTAAGAAAATGTTGATACAGTCTATAGAGGAAGGGTCCAAAAGGCAGGCGAGAGGACCTTTATATTTAGGATGGGGATGGTTCTGGAGCTTGCTGCCAACTCCCCCAGGGTACATGCCACTCTTTAGCAGAAGTCCATCAGTGACTATTAGCCACAAGGTATAGATAGGAACTCTCGGGCTGGGGCAAGTGATGCTCTGTATTGTTGGTGCTTGTGGGGGCCAACAGTGGGAAGGCTTCTAGTGTCATGGCCCCACTGCTGGACCTTCTGATGGCACCTGGTATTTTTGGCCACTGTGTGATCCAACATTGGCTTCTCTTATGTTCTTATGTTTAGTTTCATTCCTGTACCAGGGAAATTATTTTTCTGCCACTGTGCACAGGCTAGGCTCCTTACCTCTTACGCACATCTCAGCTTGCTTCTGGGGCCGTCCAGGGAACCTTGAGGATTTGTTTTGAGAGCACCTCATCCTCAGCGTAGAAGTTGAAAACCCCTTTCAAGTACAGCAGCTCCTTGGCACTTCTCTGGCTCCTCAGATTTAACCAAATTTATTTAAGGACTGGTTAAAAAATATGATTACTCTAAGATGCTGCAGTCACTCAGGTGGTTGAAGGTGGTTTTACATTAACAGAATATGCCTTTAATTACAATCAACAAGAAAGGAACACAAAGGCCTAAAAGAGCCTACATAGCAAGCTTGCCTGGAGGTAACTATGGTCTGGAGCTCCTCCAGATTCTGTACTATGGAACTGTAATAAAACATGACATGGATTTGGCTGCTCATAATTGCTGTAGAAGACACTTTTCCTGTGTACAGAGAGAGATGTCTGAGCTTTATTCTCCAGTGTGGCATTTTTATGGTACACAGTGTTGGGACAGCAGGATGTGCAATGCTGGTGTACTGCTAGTGCTCGTGATTGGACTGGTAGATATAGGAAAGAAGTTCAATGTTAATTTAGGGATCACCAAAATAGTTAAGGGTTGTTCGTCATCTCAGAAATATTTTTATTGAGAGAGCAGGATATAAATATTTAAAATTAATAGGGAGGAAGCCATAGGAGGGGAATCGAAGCCTTTTAAGGATTAAACCAACATTCATTGCTTATGCTTCAAAAAAACTGCCAGAAGGAAGTGGGAAATGTAGAAGAGCTTGCATTTTCCTGGGTGTATCATCCGTTTAACTTCTACAGTAATTTTGGCCAGGCTTTTTCCACAGAAGTCCTGAATGAGTCCATAGCATTCTTGAAAAGGGGTTTCCTTTTCCGTCAGTAACTAAATTTACTGTTCTGACAGATAACTGTATTTGATGCAGAATCAGAAGAGCATCAGGACACTGATTTGGCAATTCTAACTGCACTTTTAAAAGGTACTTGCGTACGATCCCTTCTGTCTTTTTGCCAAAGTTATATTGTGTTTCTTATGAAGTAGGTGTGAAAGAATGTGCATAAAAATCTTACAGAAGATTTTCTTGTTTAAAGGGACCGAAATGTCTGCTCCAGATCAGCTCAATCTGGCACTGGCTTGGAACAGACTGGACATTGCAAAGAAGCATATATTGGTCTATGGCCAGCACTGGAAGGTGATTGTAACATGTATTTGCTATTCTTTGTGCATCAGTGTTTACAGTTCTGCTTTCTTTATTTCTTGTTGTATAAGGAGCATCTTGGTGGTTAGCTACCAGTCTTGAGATGCAAATAATATCTTCCAGTAAATGCAAAAATAGTAAGTAACATATTTTTTTCTTTTACTGCATTTTGATCCCAACACCATCCTTTGAAGGTTGGCTCTCTTGAGCAGGCAATGTTGGATGCTTTGGTAATGGACCGTGTGGAATTTGTGAAGTTGTTAATAGAACACGGAGTGAATCTTCACCGTTTTCTTACAATATCCCGATTGGAAGAACTGTACAATACTGTGAGTGCCTAGAATTCCCAGCCCTTTTAACTATATATACACTTACTCTGTCCAAGTTCTGTAATAGTTCCAGTGGAGAAGTAGGACTATATCCATTTTTTAACAGTGCAGTCCTAAGAATACTTTCCTGGGAATAAGCCCCATTCAGTAGAGTTCAATGGACTTCTGAGTAGTCCTATTTCAGGATTGCACTGTTAGTTTATGGTTCAGACAAAAAAAGCTGGAGAAACTGTGTATAGGCCCTCTACACAATTTGAAACAAACCTTTATATATATGCATGTTTTACCATTAACAACATTTATTGGTCTACATCTTATTTTCAGTTACTGTGCAACTAGGGCCTAGTGACTACCAAGCATTGCTAAACACTCTATCAATTGGCATATTCAGGCTTTATATGTAGCGTTTGTCGATCTGGCCGCAGCATTTGATTCTGTCGATAGGTCTCGCCTGTGAGCAAAGTTGGCGGACTTGAATATAGACAAGTGGTTACTTTTCTTACAGGAGCTGTACAGTGACACTTCTGCTCAAATTAGAGTGGGAACTTCAGGCTCATTAATAGACAGAATTGTTATTGGTAAGGGAGTGAAGCCGGGATGTATGCTGGCCCCTTTACTATTCAATCTGTATTTTTATAATATAGTTGAGAATCTATTTGGTCCTTGTTTTGTTCCCCCTTCTTTGGGCCAACAAAAAATCTCTGTTTTGCTCCTTGCAGGTAACAAGGTTTTAATCTCCCAGACCAAAATTGGTCTATGAAGATTGTTACACCAATTAGGGCTTTATTGCAAAGAAGAAGACAAAAGGAATGGTTTTTAGGAAAAGGGCAGACATCTTACTGACCCAGTTTTGAAATTATTTCAGAGCAAAGTCATTCCTCATCTCCCTTATGGAGTCAAAGTTTGGGGATGGAAAGAGGAAAATCTATCTAGTATTGAAGGAATCCAGAACCAATTCTTAAGACATATTCTAGCTCTCCCCAGGGGGTCTCCAGCTGCCTTGATGAGAGCTGAATCTGGCATTCCCTCCCTTAGAGCTTGGGCACATTTGGCCATTATAAAATATTGGTTAAGGAATAAAAACGTCAGACATAAATGACTTAGTCAACAATCCTTTAATATTTTGCTGGCCAATTATTACAGTGCTCTGCTTTCCTTAATGATATTCTCTTACGGTATTCTATCCCTGGCAATCTCATAGGGTCTCCTGCTGTATACCCCCAGTTTAGGGATTTTTAACTCTGATGCATTGTTTGATCAATCTCTAATGGTTCAAATTTATTAAACTTGTCCACTTTTGAACTTCCTCGCTTGTTGACCATAATCTTAGAGCGTCCTTTACTTTATTGCGATTTCAATCTATGCCCTCAGCATTGCTGTCTGGCTGCTGTTCTCATACTCCAATGGCCAAAAGAGTCTGTATTTGTGGATCTCACACATTACAGGATTTACGTCATTATATTCTGACCCTAGGTCTAAGTTTTTGGCAGGAATTTTATCCGATTCAACCTTGTGTACAGATGCTGAGAAAATCATATTTTTTCTTTTTGATACTGATGCAAATCTTACATATAGAGTTTCACTTTTTGCCATTGATGCTATGAATTAAGGTCTAATGCTGCAAAGAAAGAGGATGCTACTTGAATCGGTTGTCAATATACTGAATTTTGGTACTAACTATCTTTTGTTTTGGTGGAATTCTCTTTGTGTATCTGTAAATTTGTACTGTATATATAATCTGTATTTTATCCAGTTGTGGTTCCTGTAACTTTGTAATGGCCTATGACTAAATACAATAAATTGATTGATTGATACTGTGCAACTAAGGCAAAATCTTGCATCCTTGAATGTAACATATTTCTTATTATTACATAGGAGATAACTTAATATGCTTTTATTGGAATTGACCAGACCAACTAACAGGGACTAAATCAATGGCTCTGCATTTGTAGAGTTCAGATTATTGAGAACATCAGTTATCATTGGCTTGGGGGAAAATTTATTGAATTTGAGCATATAATAGCAGTTCTTTTTGGTTACTTGAACTGTACAAATGCAGTGCCTGGTCTAAAAGGATCTTCTGATATCAAAATCTCTTTCTATATACCTGTGTGTTTGAGTGGCTGTGCAAGACACACAAAGCTAGAGCCTTTTTGGGCATACAAAACTAGTTGGAATCTGAACATAAATTTTGGTGAATGCCTGTTGCACCCCTAGATTATACAAGGATTCTCCCACATACCCCCCCAATTGTGGATGGTTTAGATAAAGTGGATGAGTGAGCAAATAATTTCTTCTTTCATTTATGCACATATTGATTTAATTCTCTGTCTTCTTTTCTGTTAACATTTCAGAAACAAGGTCCAACCAATCAACTTCTGCATCATCTTGTCTGTGATGTGAAACAGGTAACCTGAATCTCGAAGAATGTGGAGCAAGGCGTGTACATTAAGGGCTCTTTTAGACCATGTCACAGTTTATTGATAGCTATATAGTCCACATCAGGACTGTGTCAGTCTTGCTATCTCAAACAGACTAAGAAGATTAGTATAGCGTGTACAGTAGCCAGGGCCACATTATGACTTTCGTGGGCCCCAGGCACTTTTGCCTTTGTGAGCCCCTCCCACCATAATAGCAATTTTCAAAATTATTTTTGATACAACTTTAAATACTTCAACATTTAATTTTTTCTGTTTTAGGCAAAAATTAGTAATTTCTATGTGAGAAAAAAATTAAAACATTTTCTTCAACCCTAAAAGTTCATTTTTTTCTTCTGATTTCAAAAGAAACTAAAACATTTTCTTGGGCTCCGAAAAGTATCATGGGCCCTACTAGGCCCGTTCCCCGGCGCCGCCAGATCGGGCCCCGGGGGGAACCCCACCCCCAAAGCACATCACAGGGAAGTGACGTAAGTATGTCGGGGACGTTGGGGGCGGGGCCACAATCATCTGAGGGAAAACTCGATGGTTTTCCCTCGGATGATTGTGGCCCCACCCTCAACATCCCCAACGTGCTTACGTCACTTCCCTGTGATGTGCCTGCGGCGCGCGCGAAGCCTCCCGGAGCGAGCCTGGACTCCCCTGCACCGGGACAGGTAAGGACTTGGCAACCCTAGGCCCTAGGCACTGTGCCTAATGGATAAGTCAGCCCTGACAGCAACTACAACACTGAACATGAACATTAGGTGGTGTCTCTTCTGAGAGGTCTCCCTCCCATGCCCTGGTTAGAACTACCATCACTGAGGAAGTTGCAATCAAGCACAATCAGTTAGGATAATAATGATGTTTGAGGAAAAATGCTGTGTGACAATTTTGAGAAGGCGTTCCCCCCCCCGTAATATTAGCTAGTCAGCAGCTCCATCATGCTGTTCCTTGGGGTCCCCTACCAGGATTAGCTTTTCAGGGAGAGATCATTGGGAAGCAGTTGGAGTGGGGAGTCAGGGACATTTAATTCTGATAATACTATCATTAGGGTCCAGTATGGAATCTGTCTTTATCACTACGCCTGTAAAAGCAATGTGGGCTGGGAAATATGATGGTGGCTAGTTTGACAATATAACATGCTAATTAGGATAATTTCTGCAATGTATGGTTAGAACGTCACTGCTCCTTTCCTCAAATCCTCATCTGCAATAGGGAGGATAAATAATATTGGGCTACCTTATAGGATTATTATAAGGATTACTGAAATAATGAACATGAAATGTTTACTATAAACATGCTATGTAACATTTGAAATATTTTTTGTTACAGAGTACTCTTCCCGCAGACTATAAAATATCACTGATAGATATTGGTCTGGTAATAGAATATTTGATTGCGGGAGCTTATCAAAGCAGCTACACAAAAAAACATTTCAGAGTTCTGTACAATAGCCTTTACCAGAAACATAAGGTAAACTCAGTCATTTCTGCCAGTGATACCACACAGAAAGTTGTTTAAGTACTATGTCCTAGCATCAATAGATTATTGCTGTTTGTAGACTATTGTTCTGTTTGACCAAAACTGAAAAAAAAGTTGTATTGTGCCTTAAAGGCTAACAGGGATATTAAAGAAAGCTTTTACAAGCCAGAGGCCATTTCATTCTAATGCAATGCAAGCTACAACTGATAAAGTGGGCTCTAGTCCACAAATAAATTTAATAGTATTTTAATATCACAAGGTCCTTTTTTTGTAATTTCTCATGTGGTGGTGAAAAATGCTGTCAAGTCACAGCTGACTTATGGGGACCCCGTAGAGTTTTCAAGGCAAGAGACATTCAGAGGTGGTTTCCCATTGCCTGCCTCTGCATCACAACCCTGGTATTACTTGGTGGTCTCTCATCCAAATACTGACCAGGGCCGACCCTTTTGAGCTTCTGAGATCTGATATCAGGCTAGCATAGGCCATCTAGGTCAGGATTAACTCCGCATGTAACACCATTTAATAGTGGTAGATTAAAATACATTGGAATAAGAAATTACTTGCAAATTTAACAATGCTGGTTTTCAAGGAGAGATATTTAAATAGGATTATGAGGATCAATATTATATTTCCATTTTACAATTACATAATTCATAAAATAATGGACTGTCTGTACTGCTTTTCTGCCACTTAATATTGTTTTTATGTGCTCTGATATACATGTGTACTGTGAGACTTGCAGTCTTGCTATGCATGGCCACAGCATTTCCCTTGTGACTACAAAGGGAGTTTGTGTACACACCCTTCAGTGTTAAACAGGAGCCCATTTATCCAGGTGTCATTTCTCACCCAATGCTAGCAGTGCAGTTTTCCTCTACCTTATTGTTCAATGTGCCCCTACCACTGTCAGTTTGTGGCTGACCAGCAATAGTGTGTTAAATTAGTGCTGGAGGATAGGATGCACATTTTTATCTGGTTTTGTTTCTAAAACTTTTTTTATTCCACCTGTGTTTGTATTCATTTCTATTTTTGTCAATTTTCCATTGGTTTCAATGGGAAGCACATTTCTAGCTGTGCATCTTTTATTTTCCATCCGATTTGGATAATTTTTAACTATTGCAGTTTTCTTCCTGTCCACCAGTTTCAAACAAATATGAAGAAGGTCCCAGGCAAATATTTTTTATATATCAGTTACATATATTTTGATGTCTCCTGGCTCTCTCTGTTTGCTTGGAGCAGGTATTCCAAAAATATTTGTTTTAATAACCAAATATTTCCTGCTTACTTTGATATTTCATTGGTTACCCACTGTATACTGACTAAATGTTTCCTGTTTACATTTTCCTAAATTTCCTGATAGTGGCATATATAGCTTTCTTTATGCTAAAGTTGCAATTAAAAAACACTACACTTTATTTTAATTGCCTATAAAACTGGGATCCCTTCTACAATTCCTTTGAAATTTTGAAATGGTGTACAATCTCTGAGAATTTCATCCAAACTAGATGAATGACAAAGAAGTTCCAGCCGGAAACGTTTCCTTTTAAAACCAATGGAAATGAAAACATGTGAAATTCGTTCATTTATTTTTATTCCTTTTGCTTCAAAATGAATGAAAACAAATGGGGCATTTCCAGTTCAGTTTTTCATTCATTTTGAAATGAATGCACAGTTCTGCTAGAAGATCCTTATGACTAATGATAAACAATGTTGGTGGTTCTGAAGTCCCAAACAGATTATTTTATCTTGGAGAAAAATAGTTGGGTAATTGTCCCTTTCATTACTCCATACTCCATTACTAAAAAAGCAAATACAGAACCACTACTACTTTCTTTACAGCATGGGAGAAAGCAAAGAGAAGCTGTGAAAACGAGAATGGAACTAATGTACTTGGTTGCTGACCAGGGGTCATTTTGTAGAAAAAGAGGTGCAGGAGCTCATTTGCATAACTCATTTGCATATGCCATACCCCCTGACAAAGGGCAGGCATGCATGGGCACCTGGAGAAGATCAGGCAGGGAACCCAGGCATGTTTAAAATGCCTTTCTATCTCTTCCCTATTCGGGGAAGGGAAAAAAAGGCATTTAAATCCCCCCCTTCCCTGAGTTTCTCCGCAAAAGCAGAGGCTCAGGGGAAAAAGAGGGGCGTGTCTGCCCGCATCCCCTTTCCCTTCCCAGCCAACCCACCGTGGCGGGCAGGCTGGAGAAGGGAAGGGCAGGCAGGCAGACATGCCTGCATTCCCTGCCCGATCTTCTCCAAGTGCCCCACGGAAAGGCATTTAAATACCCCCTTCCCTGAGTTTCTCCATGGCGGGCTGGCTGGGGAAGGGAAGGACAGGCTGGCAGACATGCCTGGGTTCCCTGCTCGATCTTGTCCAGGTGCCCTGTCGCTGTGGGGCACCTAAAGAAGATCAGGCAGGGAACCCAGGCATGTTTAGAATGCCTTTCTTTCCCTTCCCCAGATGGAGAAGGGAAAGAAAGACATTTAAATCTCCCCCCCAGGTGGCGGGGGGGGGGCTCTGCAGGCCTTCTCTGGCCCATCTGCCTAGGCAGGTGGGCCAGGAAAGGCAGCCAGGGAGGGGCTGCCCCTGGGCTCCTTACTGCTGGAGCACTGTTCTGGCAGGAAATGACCCCTGGCTGAACTTAATATTGGTGTAGACTGTAGCTGTTAAAAATACCACCATCTAAGTAGGTGTGAATATACTGTGGCTTAAGGAATAACAAAGAGGAGAATAAAGATGAATATTCTGTTACGGAAATGTTATTTCTTTTCATGTAACAATGACAAATTATTATCTGAATGTGATTTTTTTTTGGTGAGTATTATCATAACCATAAAGGTGTAATTCAGCCCTTTGATTTGTCTTTTTCTTTTTGTTTCATGGTGCATTTTTGGAACCAGAGAGTTGTCTCAAGCTTGCCTCCGAACCTCTCCCTTCATCGTATGGGAAGCAGAAGTGGATCTGCTGAAAATACGTTGCATTCCCAGTTTATCAGAACAGCACAGCCTTACAAATACAAAGTATTGTGATTCTTTGCTTATGCATGAATTTCTTAGAAAAGCAGTAGACTGAAAAATTCTTTTTGTTCACTCAGAGAGTTTGTGCCTGTGTGAGAAGCAGACCTGATTACTTCTTCAAGCTTGAGTTGAGATTGAATCAGAGAAAGCTTGAGAAGTATAGTTGGCTCCCTCTATGTCACTGGCAGGCAGTGTGGTTCAGTTGTTGTTGTTCAGTCGCACAGTCGAGTCTGACTCTTTGGGACCCCATGGACCAGATCACGCCAGGTCTTCCAGTCTTCCGCCGTCCTCTGAAGTTTGCTCAATTTCATGTTCATTGCATCTATGACACTGTCTAACCATCTCATCCTTTGCCATCCACGTCTTCTTTGACCTTCAATCTTTCCCAGCATCAGGGTCTTCTCCAGTGAGTGCTCCCTTCTCATTTGGTGGCCAAAGTATTTGAGCTTCAGTTTCATTATCTGGCCTTCCAGGGAACAGTCAGGATTGATTACTTTTAGGATTGACTGATTTGATCTTCTTGCAGTCCAAGGGACTCTCAAGAGTCTTCTCCAGCACCATAGTTCAAAAGAATCTATTCTTCGGCGCTCGGCCTTCCTTATAGTCCAACTCTCACAGCCATACATGACTACTGGGAATACCATTGTTTTGACCATGTGGACTTTTGTTGGCAGGGTGATGTCACTACTTTTTATCATGCTGTTTAGGTTTGCCATCGCTTTCCTCCCAAGGAGCAGGTGTCTTTTAATTTCATGGCTGCTGTCACAGTCTGCGGGACAGTACCTGCTTGGATAATATCCTTTCCAAGTAGACAATCTTTCTGATCATAAGTTCCAGAGAATGAGACCATCCCTCATCCCTTAGACTTGTCACAGCTTCTGAAGAAGGACCAGGCTCTTGAGGATTCTCTGAAGTCCACCAGCTTAAAAAAAATATTTTAAAGCAATGGCAAACAAAAAGAAGAAGCAGAGTAGAAGCAAAATAAATAAAACAAGTAGGAAAGAAGAGTAAATCCCTTTGAAGACCAAAAAGGGCAGACTGGTGAATTCATTTATTCCTTCAGGGTCTGACTGTGAGTAGGCAGCAAGGGTGACTGGAGAGAGGTCCTCTGGAACTGTAGCTCAGACCAGACACTTGTTTACTCTTCTGATCCCACCTATTCTTCCTCAGGGTTATTTCACTAAGGTATTCCTGTCTTATGGAGATAAATGTCTCATTAACCTTTTCCCCCAATGGCAAGTGACATGGTTCCTGCCTGCACTGAAGATGGTTCAGACGATGCTTTTGGCTACCAGTTTGACTGACCCATTTACATGTGAAAGCATTAAGTGCAGGCCAAGCCATTCTACTTCAGTGGGGGAAGCCATCCAAAGCTGGTTAGGTCATGCCTCCTCTCACTTCAGACAGGGCTATGCAAATTTTTGTGTGATTATCCTGGGTCAGAGCGAGGCTGTTCTTCCAGTTTCAATAGCCCTGCAACTCCAGCAGATTGCTCTCACCCAGACTCCATGCATTAAAAAATATTTCTTAGAATAAGAGATCATACTGTTCTGGATCGTTCTCAAATGGAGGAGGACAGGATCACGAAGATGGGGCTGAAAAAGAAGGACCCAGTTAAAGACAAGCCTCTCCTGCCTGAAGCTTTGGGCACTGGAGATGGGCTGGGAAAGGAACCAGTGTCCTTAGCTGCTGCTATGGGCAAGGCAGGGTAATCAGAAGCTTTGGATCTCTCCCTAACCTCGATGCCACCATTGTAAGAAGCCACGCAGAGGCCTTTACAGCCTCCAATGAGCCATGTGGATCGGATCACAGCAGAAAGTGCCTGACAAGACTTAGAAGTTTCTGGGTCAACAGGTAGTGAGCATGATGGAGTCAGAGGAGAACCTTCCCCCCCAACAGTGCCGGGGACAGGACCTTGGCGGGGCTGATGCTAGAACAGGGACCAGAGTAGTGGAACAGGCTCCTTTTCCTCATGCCTTCCCAAGCTCTCTGACAAGCATGGGGGGATCCAATGGCAGCCACAACTTTTTTGCCCACCTTTTTTAACCCAGCTGCAGCAGACTGACTTATGCAGGCATGGAGATTGGTTTGGATGCCCCCATGCCAGCTTGTATTACCACTGAGAGCCCCCCATGGAACCCTGCTAACAGGGGCAGTGGGTCACATGGGGACAGGAGACAGACAAGAGGAGCCAGGAGACCAGAGACTCAGGTGGCAAAGGGAGCACAGACAGAGCTTCCCCCCCCCCAATCTTCTTCTTCAGAAGATGCTACCCCCCCCCACAGACCCAAGTGGCTTAGATTAAGCAAAAAGCATTTAAGTAACTGGAACAAGGAGGCTGTGAATAAAGGTCCTCATGTAGCACCATGGGATCTGTGAGGTGGGTTGTGTGTTCTCCTTGCAAACGGTGGCACCAAACCTTAAGCGCAGCAGGCTCAGAGTCTAAGGTGGAGGAATGCCATTCAGCCATGGTGGGAGCAAGCAGAACAACCGTGATGTATTATGCCAAAAATATCCACAAACTTATAAAATCTTATCCAAAATCCAGTTGACTTGGAGCAATTCAATTCCTCAAGAATCATTCATAGTGACACCATCAACACAACAGAGTATGCATATCAAGTCTCGTTTCGTTCACTAACTTTGTCAGAGTGTGTAGCATTGAAATTTACATATAGTTAATTTATTTAGTGAACAATATGACCAAATCTCTTAGTGACATTAATCAAATCCACTATGGTGGCAACCTCTGAAAAGGAGGAAGGAGAGTAATGAGGAGAGGACTCTGAGGCACAGGATATCTCAAGGAGTCTTTTCTTAGCATTATCAAAGGCTCTTAAAGAAGGTTATTCATTGTTGTTGTTGTTGTTGTTGTTGTTGTTGTTGTTGTTGTTGTTAATAATAATAATAATAATAATAATAATAATAATAATAATAATAA